TCCTGCGTCAGCCTCTTGAGTAGCTGGGGCTTCAGGCGTGCGTCACCATGCCCGGCTTATTTTTACATTTTTTGTCAAGCTATGTTGCCCCAGGCTGGTCTCAAACTCCTGGCTTTAACCAATCAGTCCTCCTGCTTCTGGCCTCCCCGAAGTGCTGGGAATACAGGCGTGAGCCACTGTGCCGGGCCTGAAGCAGTCTTTTTCTAGAACACTTAGACCAGAGTTCATAAACATGCAGTAAGAGAGCCGCAGCCGCTTCATCTGCGCAGACACCACAGATGAACGAGCACGACGCTCACCCAAGTCACCGCCAGTGGCTGCCAGTTGATTGGACTCTCAGGCTAGGTGAAGCACACTGGCGTCCAGACCAGTCTCTGCAGGGGCCGCCGCTGTTACGGATCTAGGTTGGCTTTATCTCTCTGACGAGCGTTTTCAGAAAAGTTAGATTTCTTTGAGTCCATATTGTTGTAAATAATGTCAGTTTCGAAAGGATAAAGGATAATCTTGGAATGTTATGACTTTGCAGAAAGTTTCATTTAGTTAGCATGAGAAATAAGTTTTTAGTTTGTTCTATCTGGAATGATGGCCCATGTGGAGAATTTGGGCCATCAGAGAGGAGGCTTTAATTGATTAAATCCCTAAGGATTCTGATACCAGTTTGAAATTTTTTCGTGCTATTTAATTCACGATGATAAGTACTGAAGCCAGTCAATCCCTTCCCCCCATAACATCCTTTGGGAAAGAATTATGTCTGCACTTGGAAGTAAATCCAGATTTGCACATAAAACAGAGAGCAAATCATTGACTTTTGGAAATTATTTAAGGAACAATTATTCAGAGTGTTCTGAAATTGGGAGAAAGTGAATACTATATGATCCTTGAAATGTTAACTATAGGGAATAATTATAAACATTTTCTAGCTCCTTAAAAAGAGAACGTTATAAGGGGGATACCATTTTTGAATATGATGTATGTGTTTACAGTGGTAATTACTGAAAGAAGAGGAAAATATGTTAAACTGGTCTAGTTTTCTCAGAAGCTAAGAGAGGTGCTTAGACTTAGAAGGATGCACTGTATTTAATTCATTTTCTAGCTTACAAATAAATATTAAAACATTGAAGTAGATTGTAAACTTTAAGAGGAAAACAAACTGTAATGGTAATTTTACAGCCCAGAGGCCTTTTCCTTATACCAAAACTATAAAACATGGTGTTTTTCCCTATAAGGAGACATGTGTAAGTTAGTGTCCTTTGGAATATTAAAGAACAGAGTATAATTACGGTTGTCCCTTAGCATATTCAGGGGGATTGGTTCCAGGACCCTTATGTATACTAAATATCTGTGCAGATTCAGGTCCTGAAGTTGGCCCTGCAGGTATGAAAAGTCAGCCCTCCATATAGGTGGGTTTCATATTACTGGAATATTTGCTTTTTATTTAAAACAATTTTTTTTCTTTCCAAATTGCCATCTGCAAGTGAAAATGTAATAGACTGTGAATCAAAGATATACCGCAGTGTAATACTTGGGAAGTCTCATAGAGGCTGCTTAACTTTCATTGTTTTTGAGACAGGGCCTTGCTCTGTTGCCTAGGCTAGAATGCCGTGGCATCATCATGGCTCACAGCAACCTCAAACTCCTGGGCTCAAGCAGTCTTCCTGCCTCAGCCTCCCGAGTAGCTGGGACTATAGGCATGTACCATCACACCCAGTTTATTTTTCAATTTTTTGTAGAGATGGGGGTATCACCTTGTTACTCAGGCTGGTCTTGAACTACTATCCTCAAATGATCCTCCCATGTCAGCCTCCTGAAATGCTAGGTTTACAGGCTTTAGCCACTGTGCCCAGCCTTGAATACTATATTTTTGATCTGTGTTTGGTTGAAGAAGTTCCATATAGATTCACACAGTTCAAACTCATGTAATTTAAGGGCCAACTATAGTTATGATCGCCTCCTTGATCCTGAACTAATTGTCAGAATTCCTTATGATTGAATATAATCATGAGTTTTTTGTCTTCTAATTTCAGATGTACTTGATTATAATAAAAAATAAAGTGGTATTTGGTCATTCCTGTTTATGAAATATTTTATTTGGAAATCACTTCAAATTTATAGAAAAGTTGCAGGAATAAAAGCATTGCAAAGAACACCCATATACCCTTCACTAGGATCAAACTGTTGTTAACATTTTACCTCATTTGCTTTATTATTTGTGTTCTCTTTGTGTCACTTTACATCATTCATTTTTCTGAAACATTTGAGGGTAAAGGTATATGTACCTTGGCCCTTTATTTGTAATTGTGTATTTTCTAAGATTAGGAATATTCTCTTACATGACTATAGTTAAGTTACTAACTTTAGCACATTTAAAAACGATATCAACGTGAGGTGTGGTGGCTCACGCCTGCAATCTCAGCACTTTGGGAGGCTGAGGCAGGAGGATCAGTTGAGGCCAGGAGTTTGAGACCAACCTGGGCAACATAGTGAGACCCCATTTCTATAAAAAATAAGAAAAATTAGCTGAGTGTGATGGTGCATGCCTACAGTCCCAGCTACTCAGGATGCTGAGGGAGGAAGATCGCTTGAGCCCAGGAGTTTGAGGCCGCAGTGAGCTCCAGCCTGGGTGGCAACAAGACCCTGTCTCAGCAATGACAACAACAACAAGATGTGACACAGATTCTTGTCTAGCTAGTGAAAATTATCACTACCACTTTATAGGACAGAAAATAGATTCTCAAGGTCACATGGTTCAATAATAACTGATTATATTTTTTATCCAGATTTTCATCATAATTATATTTATTGTGATAGGCCTTAATTAATCTCTGAGGAGAGGTCTGTGTGAGATAATGCCTCATTTATTTTGTATCATTAGGAAATAGGTGTTTTACATAATGAAACAGCTAGAAATAGTAAATCTTTGAGATACCAAACTTTTAAACCAAATTGTACAGGAAGCTTTCTAAAATGCAATACATAGTTGGCTAACTTTTCACACACAATCTCTGGAAAATGATTTTTAAAAATATTTATTTTAAGGCCAGGCGCAGTGGCTCAGGCCTGTAAATTCTAGCACTCAGGGAGGCTGAGGCGGGAGGATCCTTTGAGCTCAAGAGTTTGAGACCAGCCTGAGCAAGAGTGAGACCCCGTCTGTACTAAAAATAGGAAGAAATGAGCTGGACAACTAAAAATATATAGAAAAAATTAACCCAGCATGGTGGTGCATGCCTGTAGTCCCAGCTACTCGGGAGGCTGAGGCCGGAGGATCATTTGAGCCCAGGAGTTTGAGGTTGCTGTGAGCTAGGCTGATGCCACGGCACTCTAGCCCAGGCCACAGAGTGAGACTCTGTCTCAAATAAATAAATAAAAATTTTATTTTATTATATTTTATTGTTAGGGAGTAGCTGGGACTGGAGGTGTGTGCCACCCTGCCTGGCTAATTTTGTCTATTTTTGATAGAGATGAAATCTCAAACTCCTGACCTCTAGTGGTCCTCCTGCCTTGGCCTTCCCGGGTGCTAGATTACAGGCCTGAGCCACCACACCTGGCCTGTGGAATATCTTTCCATGTTTATTGACCATTTGTATACCTTTTCTCATGACTAGTTTTGATATGTATGGTTTTGATATCATGACTGTATTTTCACATAAATCATATATGTGAAATTCCAGGTGGAATTATAATATCTAATATAAGTGAAAAGTGGTGATTATGATTATGTTAATTTGTTTTTAAAAAATCAGCCCAAACTCTACTGAACAGGAAAAATAAAGGAGGCAAAACTTTTGGATTTCTGTAGAGGAAATTGGTAAAACTGAAATTCATTGTGCTGAGGACTTTCTGAAAACTTTGGAATGCGTGTGTGGCTAGCATAAGGTCACAGCGAACAATCGGCCAGTGTTAAGGCCTTGAAAATAGTCCTGCTTGTTTAACTAGTCCCTTGTTGAGGTATTTGTTAATCTTGGGCTGTTTACCTAAAATGTAAGCGTCAAGTCAACTGAGAAATCAACTGAGAAATTTGGTAAAGTGGCTAAAATATAAATAGATAAAGTCAGTATTAATTGTGACTCATTCAGATGTGCAGCAGTCAAAGAATAGCACAAGAAAGGTTTAAGACATGAGAATTATGATATTTTACTGAAGGGATATAAAGGATTGGAATGATTGAGTGAATAAACCATGTGCTTGGATGGAGAAATGTGATAGTCGGTAAATATTGGGTTGATAAAGGGCAGTTCTTCTCAAATTAATATATTTAATATAATTCCTGTGTGATAGAGGGGGTTGGATGAAATATAAATATTAAAAAAGAAAAATAATAATTTAAAAAATATTGCAGTCAATATTTTAACAAAATTATTAATTTCTATAATTCTAATTGGAATGTGAGAGATGGATTAAGATAATTTGAAAACATTCCAAATTCTTTACCTGCTATATAGAATAATACCTAGTGTAAGCTGTAGTAATAAATCTAGTGTTTAGATAGGAATAAACAGACTAATGGAAAGAATTGAGGACCCAGAGAAAGAGCTGTTTACATGGTGTTTGGCCGATTCTTTCCCATTAGTTGGGAAAGGGTGGATTATTATAAGCCTTATTTAAAGACAAACTTGGAAAAACTATTCAGCAGTGAATTTTAAGTTATTGTCAAAATAAATGTTGAAAATAGAAAACTGAAGTTTTATTCTGATTTTCTTTGTGAAAATGTTTGTTATAGGTGGGAGAATTTATGAATATTCATATGTATTTATAATGTAAAATATGACCTTAGTTTTAAAAATATCTTTTTTTAATGGGACAATATTTTTTTATGAACAAAATAATGCACCTCTTCAAGAATTATGGCTATAAAGAATTTTTCTTGACGTAGATTTTTACCACCACTAAAAATTATTCACTAAAGTGGATACGAATGCAGTATTGATGCTAGAAGGTTATGCAGTGTTACTTATCTTTATAAATATGAAGTAGCCTAACTTCTAATGTTTTATTTTGTTCAGTCAGGTCAATTCAGTGAAGATATGATACCTACAGTGGGCTTCAACATGAGGAAAGTAACTAAAGGTAACGTCACAATAAAGGTACGTCAGCTCTTGCCATACTTGATTTAAATTGTTAGCATACACAGCTAGGAATTTTTCTGTTTATTTCTTTGTTTTTACTTGAGTGTTTGCAGTTCTTGAGTAATGAACGCACGTTTCTAAAGAGCATAAATTAGTTGTTTTTTATTTCTCTAATACATCAAAGCGTATAGGAGTTATGCCCATAAAAAACTTATAATATTTACACTGAAAAGGATTTTACAAAAATAATAAAACTTAGTACATGGTTTGGCAGAGTATTTGGGATTTAGATATTCCTAGGAAATAAAGATTCCATCTTTAGAGTATTTGGAATGTGGTATTACATTATTTCATGAATAATATTTTATATTGAAAGGCAATACTTTACTATTTAAAATTTTGGTAGTTTAGTATTATTTTTGGGGCAGCAAATTCTGTAACCTAGTTTTTCCTTTCTTTACTACTAAGTCCTAAAATTGAAAGTATAAGATAGGAAAAAGTTAACTAGTTGTTTCACAGAATTTTATTTTTAGAATGAGTTAGACAGATTGATTGATTGATTGGTTGATTGATTGATTTGAGACAGTCTGGCTTTGTTGCCCAGGCTAGAGTGAGTGCCGTGGCGTCAGCCTCGCTCACAGCAACCTCCAACTTCTGGGCTCAAGCGATCCTCCTGCCTCAGCCTCCCCAGTAGCTGGGACTACAGGCATGTGCCACCTTGCCTGGCTAATTTTTTCCTATATATATTAGTTGGTCAATTAATTTCTTTCTATTTATAGTAGAGACAGGGTCTTGCTCTTGCTCAGGCTGGTTTCGAACTCCTGACCTTAAGCAATCCTCCCGCCTCAGCCTCCCAGAGTGTTAGGATTACAGGTGTGAGCCACCGCGCCGGGCCAAGTTTGACAGATTTAAATCGTAGATTGTTATACTGTTTATTAGGGGCAATATTTTAGCATTTTTGTTTTGTTTTGTTTTTGGTTACCTATTTCATGGAAGTTTACTTCTCTGACCTGAGACCTAATGGCCATTTTTTTGCCCAGTTGTGGCTCACAGAAGCTGTTCACCAAACTCTTTCTGTGTGGCTCCTCTGCTAAAGCTTGTAATTTAGTCATGGTATGTCTATGCTTGTTATCGGAGTCTGTAGTTAAATTAGAAGCCTCATGCAGCTCAGTACCATGACTTGAGACATTTATGTAGCCCAGTGCTCAGTGTGTGCCCAGCACGAATAGGCATAATAATAAAATTATTTTGGACAGTGGCTTTCAACGGGTAAAATAGTCTTATATAAGAAAAACACAGTAGGAATCTTAGGTATTTATTTACAGGATAATTTTAAAGATTAGGTATTAACGTATACCAAATCAGACAAGTAAAATTTAACAGATTCTGAACTGTTCTTTTCTGTCTTGGCATTTAAATCTGGATGCTGCATGGTTCTGTAGATTTTAAAAGTGTTATCTTAGACATATATTTTCAATATTAACCAGTAGGTTAACAAAGAAAGTATTGCAGATAATCCACATCTTTGCTCAAGCAGAATTTTAGATCTAGTGTAAACATATTAAATACAAACTTCAAGTTTAGGAGTGGCAGCAAAAATTCTCAGATCAAAAGATTGAACCCAAGTTTTATTGTAGAAATGAATATATTTCCTGATCTTTCATCCTTTCTTCTGCTACTTCCTCTTTCAATGAATTATTTGAAATATCTTCATTAAGAATTGTTTTGTCTTGATTTAAAGATCTGGGACATAGGAGGACAACCCCGATTTCGAAGCATGTGGGAACGGTATTGCAGAGGAGTCAACGCTATTGTGTAAGGTTTTTTTTTGTTTGTTTTAAATCAATTTAGGCTTCAAAGAAGAAAGTTGTTTTTAGTACTTCCAAAGGCTCAGTTTTTATCTCAGGCAGTAAAAATCTTTCTTAGCTAATATCTTGGTGTAATTCCATTAACATGGGGTTAAAATAATTAGAGAATGAGAACTTTATTTATATTTTTTCTTTATACAGCTAAGAACTAAATGTTTTACTATCATGTATTAGCCCCTAGGAATAGTCTAGTTAAACGTGTTTATTTATGAGTGCTGTACCTTTCTTTATCCAGGACTTAGTTTATTTTGATTAACAATTTCAATAAAAAATCTGTAATCCTAATTGTCAATCATCAAGGCATATAGAGAAAGGCATGTTGAAATCATTTTATTTTTATTTTTTTTTAAGTTACATGATAGATGCCGCAGACCGTGAAAAGATAGAAGCCTCCCGAAATGAGCTGCATAATCTTCTAGATAAACCACAGTTACAAGGAATTCCAGTAAGTATGGAATACTTGTTATTTTACATTTGCAGTTATACAATTATAGTAATTGCGTTTGAAATCAGTAAGGAAGGCTAACGTTCACCGAGTATCTGCCCTATACTGGGCTTTGTGCTGTTTATGGATTTCTTAATCAGATAATTTACTAAACCAGCTTGCAGCAGGGACAGCGCTCAGCCCTAGGGATATGGTGATGAACAGAAATCAGTAGAAACATACTCAGTGCTGTCTTGCAGCGCTGGTAAATGCTAGGAAGAAAGGAGCAAGAGGCTGTGAGGATTAAGTTAGAAGGGAGATTGGATACAGTTTGGGAAGAAGGAAGGATTGTCTGAGGAAGCGATGCTTGAGCTGAGATCTGAGGGATGTGATGGTTGGAGGGGAAGAGAGTTCCAGGCAAAGCCCTTTGGGAAGGAGGAGGAAGCGGGGCGCTGAGAGAAGTCCAGTCTTCTAGAGCACAGAGCAGAGCGGGGAGGGTGGGTAGAGTGGGGCCTGCCACGCGGCAGGTGGGACGCCAGAGGAGGCCCTGCCTGGGCAGAACTGAGTGTGAAGCCAAGGAAGTGTTTTAAATGATCAGATTATGATTTGAATAGGTGGTTCTGATTACAGTTTAAGAAGGGATTGAAGTGATCAAGAGAAACCATGAGGGGGATGGTTGGGTTCTTAGTTGCAAGCAATAGGAAGGAATTCATTGACAGGATATTGGTTGGCTCCCCGAGTCTGGGAAGGCTGCAGAAAACCAGGCTCAGAAAATAGACTGGGGCCGGGCGCGGTCAGGAGTTGGAAACCAGCCCGAGCAAGAGTGAGACCCCCGTCTCTATTAAAAATAGAAAGAAATTAATTGGCCAACTAAAAAAATACATATAGAAGAAATTAGAAATACATATAGAAAAAATTAGCCGGGCGAGGTGGCACATGCCTGTAGTCCGAGCTACTCGGGAGGCTGACGCAGGAAAATTGTTTGAGCCCAGTAGTTTGAGGTTGCTGTGAGCTAGACTGACGCCATGGGACTCTAGCCCAAGCAACAGAGTGAGACTCTGTCTCAAAAAAAAAGAAAAGAAAATAGGCTGAAAGGAGGGCAGCTAAGCAGCTGCCAGGATCCCATGTGAACTTACACCGTAGAGTAAGTCTGGTGACCATGTGCAGTTTCTGAACTCAGTAGGCACAGTTGCTCTAACTGCATGTGTTCCAGCTGATGCTGGTCCCCTGTCACATGGGTTCTCTCTCCTTGCTTTCTTGCATCATTGGTTCTGCATTAAAGTATCAGTTGATCCTAAATTGTGTATCAAAGGAAAGCTGGGAAAGAAATTATGCTTTATAAGCAAGTAACTTTATTGCGAGGAAGGTGCATATAGTTGGAGATGGATGCCAGGCAATGGCAAAAATGACAGCTAATCACAGATAACTAAGGTTTTTTTTTTTTTTTGAGACAGAGTCTCACTCTAGTCCTGAGTAGAGTGCCATGGCATCAGGCGATCCTCCTGCCTCAGCCTCCCGAGTAGCTGGGACTACAGGCATGAGCCACCATGCTAGGCTCATTTTTTCTGTGTGTATATATATATATATATATATTAGTTGGCCAATTGATTTCTATTTTTTAATAGTAGAGACGGGGTCTCGCTCAGGCTGGTTTTGAACTCCTGACCTTGAGCAATCTGCCCGCCTCGGCCTCCCAGAGTGCTAGGATTACAGGCGTGAGCCACTGCACCTGGCCAGGGTCTTACTCTTGCTCAGGCTGGTATTGACCTCCTGAGCTCAAGCAATCCTCCTGCCTCGGCCTCCGAGAGTGCTAGGATTACAGGCATGAGCCACTGTGCTCGGCCTGACCAAGTTGTATGATTAGAAAATTAGCCAGGTACAGATTAAGAATCAGGAGTGATGGAAATAAATGTGGAGAGGGGTAAGAGTCGAGGAAGGGAAGACAAGCTGACCAAAGGCATGGCACTAAGGTTCGGCTCTTGGCTCTCTGGCGCTTTGTATTGTAGTCTTACTAACCTTCCCCTGGGAGCTCCCAGCATCCTTGGTTGTCTGTGCCTCTGCCATCACCCCTTTGTCATTTGTGCAGAATTGAAATAAGAGTCTAGGCCTATGAGGGGTATTGGTTAAAGTGTCCGGAGTCAGGGCGGGAAGGAGGTATTAAGTGAAAGAAATAGGTATGACAAAGATGTAGTGTGTACTTTGTTAGGATGGATCAAAGATACAAACTTTGATTTAGAGTATGGATGATATCAAATGAGTTATACATACTGATATACCTTGCTTTCCATAGAGCAGAAAGGATATTGTATGTAGGAAATTGAGAAGGCTGTCTCAGTTTTGTTTTTTTTTCAAAGCACATCTAACAATCAGATGATAAAATTTATTTCCAGAGTTTATGACTGCTATGATCATCCTGATGCCTACAGTCAGCCATTGTCTTAGGATACTGATAAACTAATTTACATGTTCACGTGACTAATGGCCGACAGATAGAAAAAACAACCCCACCCTTGGTTGTTAAGGTCATATTTGTATTTTGTTAATGATATACAGGTTGAGTATCCCTGATCTGAAATTAATATTTTTTCTTTTTGAAGGTGCTAGTGCTTGGAAACAAGAGAGATCTTCCTAATGCCTTGGATGAGAAACAGCTAATTGAAAAAATGTATGTCTTAAGAATGAACAATGCTATTTTTAAAATTTAGTTCTAAATTACACTATTTTGTCCACTTGTTAACATTATTCAGTAATGATTGTTAGCCATGTTTTTGGTAGATAAACGTAGCCTACCAGAGAAGTGACTCCCTAAAATTTTAGTAGTAGTAGTATAATGATTTCTTCATTATAGTAATAACAAATAAAATTGAGCAGTGAACGATAAGTATGACAACTGTTCTAAGCACAAACTTACTCTCTTAATTCTGCTTCTTATAGGAATCTGTCTGCTATTCAGGACAGAGAAATTTGCTGCTATTCAATTTCTTGCAAAGAAAAGGATAATATAGGTAAGAAATGACTGTAATTTTGAAACAAATGGGCGTCACTGGAAGGAATGGCTAATGCTTCTCCATTTCTGATTAAATGACTTCCTTTAGAGGGTACTGTCGCTTTTGCCTGAGGAAAAAGAATAGGCAGACATTATACTTTTTGACAACAAATACAGTAAGTGCTTACTTAACACAACTTTAAGTGAAATGGCATACAGCAATTTCTTGAATAACATTATTTTGTTCAATGTTGTTTCATTATAATGTTGATGAGGAAAAAAATTCGTTTTGTTATGCATCATTTCACTTAAGTCTCAGTTTCCAAGAACCTATTGACGACATTAAGTGAGGACTTACTATATAACATCCTGAATCTTCTCTATGCTATTTAAAGAAGGAAATGGAATAAAGCCATAAAATTAAACATTAGGTGATACAAATTTATTGTATTAATTTTTTGTGTGAGCTAGTATCCAACTGTGCTTTATAACAAAATGACATTTTGGAAATAAGACTTTATAAAAATTGGTCTACTGGCACTGTAACAATTTTTCATTTATTGAACCAGTGTATTACTATAATATGTTAGCACTTTATTGGAAGTACAAGCCAAAAACACCGTTTATTTAATGTCTGTATTAATGTCTTAGAACTGCCTCAACAAAGCACCACAAACTAGGTGGCTTAAAGCAGCAGAAACTTAATCTCTGCAGTTCAGGAGGCTAGAAGTCCAAAATCAAGGTGTCAGCAGGGCGCGCTTTCTGCGAGGGCTCTAGGAGGGGACGGGCCTTGCCCCTTTCTAGCCTGTGGCGGTTGCCAGGTGGCAGTGCTTGGTTTGCATTGATAGACGCAGCACCCCAGTCTCTGCCGCACACTCACACGTCACGTGGCTTTCTCCCCGTGTGTCTCGGTGTGAGTATGTTATCTTTTTATCCTTAAGGACACAAGTCATTAGATTAGGGCCACTCCAGTATGACCTTATCTTAACTAATAACTTTGCAGAGATCCTATTTCCAAATAAAGCCATATTCTGAGGTTCTGGATAGACATGAATTTTTAGGGGGGACTAGACAATCCAGTATGGTGTCCTTAAAAAATAAGTATGTGTGACTCAACTGTAGTCTCTTAATTAATTTGATGAGGGATTATTTAATACATGAAAGTATATTGGAATAAAATGTTATAAATTGTACCAAAATAGGATGTTTACAAAGTTTTTCTGATATTTTTTGTTTTAGCCTTTATTCAATATGTATTGGTTTTTATTATACTTAACTTTTTAAAAGTTAATTCTAATCTATCCCCCTCTAGTTCACTTTACCCCCAAACATGCTCTCATGAGCTCAAAGTGTTGACAGTCATTTTGGCTCATTCTGGCATCCTGTAAAGATCATCCAAAGCAGTCCAAGCCCTAGTAACTATTGATGGACACACGTTTTCCTCTGTTAAGCAGATAGAATAAGTTACATCGAGAGCATTTATTTAGCTTGGAAACAGTCTCTTCAAGCACTTACGGTTACTTAGACATTATTTAAAATTTTTTTTCTACATGGGGATAGGAGGACGCTTGTTAGATGCCCACATCAGAGCATTTATTTCTACCTCGCTGGTTCTCAGTGGAAGTTTTCCCCCAAGGAGACATTTGGCTGTTTCTGAAGACCTTTTTGGTTGTCATAACTAGGCGGGTAATGCGAGGATCTGGTGGGTAGAGATCAGAGATGTTAAAACATCCTACAGCCTCCACAGCAAAGACTTATCTAGGATAAAAAGTCAGTAATGGCGAGTGTTTTACACTAACCATAATTTTTAGTATGTTGTGCTGTTTTGTTTTCTCTAGTACTTCCTAAAAGAGAAAAAAAAAGCTTTAGAAGGGAGGAAAAAATCTTTTATATTGTTACTAACTAGCTGGATACTTTCCTGAAAAAAATCTCTTGAGCTCATTTGTGTAAGAAATTGTAGAGTTGTCGAGAAGAACTTTTGCTATTGGAGGCTGATCTTCATAGTTTGCTACATAGCTGTAGTCACCAGGTTGCTGATTTTAGAACTCATGGTTCGCTTAAAGTGTTACCAAGCCCAAGGAAATGGATCCACTCTAACAAGATTAAAACAAAAACTTTGTAAATCAGAATGCCTATTTATTTGGAGCAAGATATAGAAATACAACTAACAGTTGAGTAGAGTAGACTTCCTGGGCAATGAAGTTAGAATACCTTTTTTTTTTTTTTTTTTGAGACAGAGTCTCACTCTGTTGCCCAGGCTAGAGTGAGTGCCGTGGCGTCAGCCTAGCTCACAGCAACCTCAATCTCCTGGGCTCAAGCAATCCTGCTGCCTCAGCCTCCCGACTAGCTGGGACTACAGGCATGCGCCACCAAGCCCGGCTCATTTTTTCTATATGTATTAGTTGGCCAATTAATTTCTTTCTATTTATAGTAGAGACGGGGTCTGGCTCTTGCTCAGGCTGGTTTCGAACTCCTGACCTCGAGCAATCTGCCTGCCTCGGCCTCCCAGAGTGCTAGGATGACAGGCGTGAGCCACCAGAATACCCTTCTCGATTTCAGCTTTTACAACATGCTTTCGTGCCATATTTATGAATTTACTAAATTGCTCCAAGAAGTATTTCACAGCACATGGGTTGTATATTACACTTCTAGTTTCCTAATGTGGTACATGAACTGCCTTCATTTCATTAGTAATATATCCTCAAACTACTCATAGAACAGATTACTTCTACGAAGATGATCTTTTTAAAGATGCTCATATCTGTGACCTTTTTGTCACGGAGGGTTACTTTTTCTTCATCTGAGTATCTTATTTCTATTCTGCCTTTAAAAAAAAAAAATTAGAGACAGGGTGTTGCTCTATTGCCCAGGCTGGAGTGCATTGGTAGAATAGCTCACTGCAGCCTTGAACTCCTAGGTTCAAGCGATCCTCTTGCCTCAGCCTCCGGAGTAGCTGGGACTACAGGCATGTGCCACCATGCCTGGCTAATTTTTTTGTTTTTATTATTTTTTTAGATATGGGGTCTTGATATGTTGCCCAGGCTGGTCTTCAATTCCTGGCCTCAAGCAGTCCTCCAGCTTTGGCCTCCCAGGCCTGAGCTGCCACACACCCTTTCCTATTCTTGTTGTGATAGCCCCTGTATCGCTTCGTATTGGCAGTCCTCCAGATTTCCTCTGTTGCCATTGCTAGCATATTAAAATAAGCTAACATAACCTGCTTAAAATTCTGTAGTAATTTCCTGTTGTCTTGAAAATAAAGTCCAAACTTCTAAACATTTAAGAATGGCAGGCCGGGCATGGTGCCTCACGCCTACCATCCTAGCACTCTGGATTCAGTCAAAGGCCGCATTTAAGGAGGCCACATGTAGCTTTTAGGCCTCGAGTTTCCCACCTTTGAATGCTGCATAATATTTTACAGAGCACAGGAAAGGCCTTCACCCCAGCGCAGGAAAGAAGCTTCATGCTTTTCTTGATTCTTTTGCTGGGAATTCTGTGCTGCAGCCCCTAAACCCAAATGGTTACTGTGTCTTTTCTATCATACTTCAACGCTCCTTGAGGGTAGAGGCGGGTTCTCCCATATTTTTGCATTCCTGGCAGTTTGCATGCGGTACCTGATCTTACAGGCCATGCATAAAAGGTGGCACCAGCTGTCCTTTACACATTTTAATTTTTAAATCAAAGACTCTTTAGTCTCTGATAAGTCCTCGTATTATGCTCTTTAAGTTTAGTTAACAGAGAATGATAGTATAGGTGCAGAAAAGCAGAAGCGGGTAGGCGTAGCATTTGCCTTGTGAATCAGCTGCATTTAAATATTGTCTCTGATGTTTATTTTTGTAACTGTGTTATCTGAACACCTTTCCTTTCTTCTCCCCAATGCCTCATCTTTAGATATCACACTTCAGTGGCTTATTCAACATTCAAAATCTAGAAGAAGCTGAAGCATCTCCTGAAGTCTTCCAGTCCTTCTTGGCTATAATCCTAGAATTATTGTCCGTTCCTCTGAAGTACTTCCCAGAATACGGTCCTTCCTACACCCAAGAAATTGCCTTTTTCAGAGTTTATTTCTCATGTGCACTGCTGAAGATGTGTGTCCCTAATCCTTCATAAAGAATCAGCTAGAGTTGTCATGATAAAGTCAGCACACACAAAGAGGCTTCTTACACATACTTGTCTTAAACAGTGTGTGGAGCTTTTTTTAAAAAAAAAAAAAGAAAAAACAAAACACACTCAACCATCTTAAATCAAGAAAATTGCATATTTGTGTTCTGGTCTTTCTGGGCCAGATTTTTATATTGGTTTTCAGTAAATGTCTATCTATAATATTTCATTATAGAGTTCAGTAGCTTAATATTGATACTGACTTGATACAGCATGAAGTTTCTAGTGCCACACGCAGTATTTAGAAAACCTTTAAGCCTGACTCATGTGGGACATAAACAATATGTTTATCTTATCTCACAAATGCATGTGAAATGTATAATTACACCTTAGGAATTCAAACATGGTCTGCAAAGAATGAGCAGAGGCACCAGATCAGTGTCGTGGGTTCTCTACACTGGTGAGATTCTACCTGACAAATTTTTACAACATTCTGCTTTCTGAGAATTCTTCATCACCAGATAGCTTTTGGGGACATGGGAGGAACTGAAGCATGCTGTTTTGTATCTGTCCAGATCATTACTTCTATATTTTATTTTATTTTTTCTCCTGGTTCAACATAACTTTTTTAAGGGGTTGGGAATTAAAGATTTTCTCAAAAGCTTTCATGAATTTAGAGCATTCCAGCCAACATAATAAAACCTGTTGAGAATGTCAGACTTTGTTCAAACACCTGTTTGTTCTTTCTGTCTCCAGTCATTAACAGTGCTGCTGCATGACTCTCTAACTCTTGACTTTTTATATCCAGTCTTAAAGTTGACTTTCAGCACAAAAGATACTTATAAACAAAGAAAAGTTCTTATTTTTCTCTCGTTGATGTAAGGGTTGGCACTCTTTTGACTGGTGCCATTAGACATCTTGATTATTGTGACAACTCTAGACCTGCCTGCTTTATCTAATGTAATCATGCGCAATGTCTACAGGTTGTTTAATAATCAGTCTCACAGAGAACTGAGGAACTGATGCTGTTGTTTTGCTTCTATGATACAGAGATGTGTCAAAAAACTTAAAACGGACATGTTTTGTAGGTTAGTGATCTCCATATACATAAAGGGACATATTAATACTGGTTCACTTGTAAATTATTATTCACATAGACCACTGTAGTAGATAAAATTCTCTGGTATAACTGCTTATGTGTTGCCTCACACTGTGTGTGATTTTGTTTCTTTTGTTAAGCAGCACTTAGGTAGACAGTGCATTTCCGGACGTGTTGAGCACTCAGAGTGTAGTCGACAGTAAGTTCTTTTAATGGATACCAGTTTTAATTTATAGACAGCCATGGCCTTAAAATATTCAAAAACTGCACTGTATTGCACAGACACTACTTGTTTTTTCTCCATTCATATTTTTATGAGTAGAATCTGGGCTTTTAAAGTTCTCTTCTTATTCTTTGAAGCATGTTGCATACTTCCCAGATGGGACGGATGGTTCCGTAAATGAAGGGATATTTGAATTTGCTACTGTCGGTCAGCATCACTGATGGTCACGGTGAACCATTACAAAGAATGTGGCAACTTGCTTGTGCCTGAAAGAAGTTGGAACTAGAATGTGTGACTGACTCTTGGGGACTGCATAGGTTTGTTAATTGACCTAGAGCGAACCCTTAATGTGTTTGCGTGTCTGTTCATTGCTTTCAACATTTCAAGACATCCAAACGCTACTACCAACATGTTCCTGTGCATTAACCTCTGCATGTGAAAACTTAACAGTTACTGAACTTTGTAAATACGTGAATTTTTTATTTAGGTGGATGCATTTTTTGTCTGTTTACTGCTCTTCTCAGCTTTATTCAATAAACTTGCATTTTGAGGGTTGTATTGACAATTTTAACTTAAAATGTGCATCATGATGGAATGTGCAGACTTCTTTGGAAGGGCTTAGACAGTTACCATGAGGAAGGTCCATAGACCATGTGCTAGAGAGAAATCAGCTCAGCCCTCAAAAAATTGGGTCTGTGGGCTAGTTAAAATAGAAATAAACTTTTAAAATATCCACAGGATTGATATTGTGATTTTTTTGTGTGTGGTGGGGGGTGGAGGGAGGTGCTACTATTTGTAAACTGTCATGATTCACCAAATTAGGACTTTAAAGGGGCAAGAGCTAGTAGAGCATTTTATAATCAAGTTTAAAAAATCAAACCAATATCCCATTAATAAACTGAAATTGCAAGACACCCCTACTTACTGACTTCAGTTCAGAATGAAAATATTTTAAATACTAAACATGCTGGTTTTCTCACAAAGGCACATTTTTAGGAGAAAACATTTGGCCCATTTCGCTAGTATAGTATCTTCTGTACTATAAAATAAGTCAGTATTTATCTAGTGAAAGCTACTGGAGAAATGATTTTATTATAAAATAAAATTTTTATTTAGAAAAGTTCAGGCCGGGCGCTGTGGCTCACACCTGTAATCCTAGCTCTCTGGGAGGCCGAGGCGGGCGGATTGCTCGAGGTCAGGAGTTCGAAACCAGCCTGAGCAAGAGCGAGACCTTGTCTCTAAATAGAAAGAGAAAGAAATTAATTGGCCAAGTAATATATATAGAAAAAATTAGCCGGGCGTGGTGGCACATGCCTGTAGTCCCAGCTACTCAGGAGGCTGAGGCAGGAGGATCGCTTGAGCCCAGGAGGTTGAGGTTGCTGTGAGCTAGGCTGATGCCATGGCCTGGGCAACAAAGCAAGACTCTGTCTCAAAAAAACCAAAAAACAAGAAAAGTTCAGTTGGCTTTTTCTCTGTATCTACACTATTCTCTACAGCCAACTTTCATTGGCTAATTGGATGTATGATTTAGTATTTCTGTCCCTAGGATATCACATTTAAACTTATTCACCAGAGCCATTTAGTCAAGCCATCATTTTGGTCCCCTTCTTAGCCCTCTGCCAGAGGAGGAGGGTGTTTGGGTTGGGGGAGCAGGGGACATTGAGGATACATGTTTAGCTTAATTCTAAGTTTGTACATTCAAAAATTGAGACTTCTAAAATGAGTCCCTGTTATTCTGTCAAATCGGGTGTATTGGACCATGTCTGCTTTTGTGGACATTATCTTTTGACTGAGGAACTAATTGCCTTGTCTATTCACTCCATATAGGATTGAGTTACACTGAAACCCAAAGGGCCTGGCAGGTTGAGAACTCCAGTGGAAGCTTAAATGTAGCGAGCGGGCACCATAACTGTACCCACCAGTTGGCCAGGTGGTTTAAAAGTGTGCCACCACCGGGGTACCACTGTGTTTGGTGTTTCACGTTATTTTCATTTTGTTACAGACTTTTAAGGCCATCTCCTTAACAATGTGTATACCAGTGAAGATATTTGAAAAGGAGGACAGCAAAGGCTAACAGACTTCCCTTAAATTTGCTGCTCTGTAAGTGAGCAAGCTCACTGCAGGTGTTTCCTGTTGGTTGGTAGATATCCTCCATGTCAATTTCTGTTTCAGATTCAGCTTTTAATAAAAATGAATACTTCTTGTCCTTGCTGCCTGTTGAGTGTTTCGGGAACCCGAAGCAGGTCGTCGACATGCTAGAGGAACTGCAATGGGAAGTTTCTTAATTTAAGCAAGAGCAGTAATGAAGAGGGGCCGGGCAAGGTGGCTCACACCTCACACTCTGGGAGGCCGAGGCAGGAGGATCGGTCAAGGTCAGGAGTTCGAAACCACTCTGAGCAAGAGCGAGACCCCGTCTCTACTAAAAATAGAAATTAATTGGACAACTAAAATATATAGAAAAAATTAGCCAGGCATGGTGGCACATGCCTGTAGTCCCAGCTGCTCGGGAGGCTGAGGCAGGAGGATTGCTTGAGCCCAGGAGTTGGAGGTTGCTGTGAGCTAGGCTGATGCTATGGCACTCTAGCCCGGGCAACAGAGCAAGACTCTGTCTCAAAAAAAAAAAAAAAAAAAAAATTTCTAAAATAATTTCTCCCACTAATAGCTGATTCTAAGAGCCTAGAGATTTGATTGGTCGTGAAACAAGCAACTATATAAATGCCCACCTTTCCTCATGAATGTGTTAATAATGTTGCATGTTCCTTTCACTTAAAGTAATCCCAAAATACAGAAATATTTAATTTTTTTTTTAGAGACAGTCTAGCTCTGTCACCTGGGCTAGAGTGTACTGGCATCATTGTAGCTCACTGCAACCTCAAACTCCTGGGCTCAAGGAATCCTCCTGCCTCAGCCTCCCGAGGAGCTGGGACCACAGGCGAGCACCACTGCACCAGGCTAATTTTTTTTTTCTTTCTATTTTTAGTAGAGCGGGGGTCTCCCTTTTGCTCAGGCTGGTCTCAAACTCCTGAGCTCAAGTGATCCACCTCCCAGAGTGCTAGGATTACAGGGGTGAGCCACCTTTGCCTGGCCAATATTTACATTTTATAACTTTAAATTTTAACATACTTAAGGCTGGAGCTTGAGGACGTTTTACAAAATGATACAGTAACTTACATTTTGTTTGAAGGAAACGCTGTTAAAACATACAGGTTTATATTTTGAATGACATTTACACATTTTAAAGCATTTTCCCCAGACTGCAGAAAAATACTCTGGTGTTTATACACTGTGGGAAAATATATACCTACTACCAATTTGGAGGTAAATAGAGCTAATGTTTAACACTTTATAACTGCTGTGTAGCTCGGTTCTGGTAGAGTTTACCTAGAGCTTTAAGAACCTGGAGTGATTAGAAAATAGTTCCATTGAAAGTAAAGGGTTTTCAGGACAGGAAGTCCATAAAAAAAAAAAAAAAGTAAAAAAAAAAATGAAAGAAAAAAAGAAAGTAAAGGGGTGGGGCAGGGGGACCAACAAAAATTTGTGTTCCCTTTTGAATATGGGAAATAAAACATTAATCAGTTGCTAATTACAGTATCTCCCCCCAACCAGTTCTCATGTCACCTGCAACTTTGGCCTGCCCTTGCTAAGTACAATTTGTATCATACAGCATGCCGTCTTCTTTCTATGGGTTAAGGGCATCTGTCTTTTCTAGCTGTTCCTACCCAATACATGAATTTGATAACTGTTTTTTTTCTATTTGTTTTATTCTGTAAGGAAAAGTTCAAATGGCTATTATTTGCCATACCACTAGCCAATACATGAAAGCGCTAGCCCTCCTTATCATTCAGAGAAGGGTTAAGAATGTATGTAATTCCATTTTTTCTGGGAGCATCAATAACGTAAAGTCTAAAGCATAGTATGCACGTGGCATGGTGATATTCTCCATGGATAGTTGCTACATTTGTGTCAGTGGTTTAGTTACAGCAGGTGGAAAAGAATCTCACTACCTTTTCTTCCTAAGTTCCATTTATTTTTTGAATAAGGTAAGTCACATGATTTAATTTTTTTTTTTTTTTTTGAAACACTTTCTTCAACCTGGCTCCTAATTCAAGGCTGTGCCTTGACAGGCCGTTATTGCCTTTGAGGTGGTTTGGGAAGAGTGGGAGGACGCGTCTTTTTTTCCTTGCTTGAGGGCCAGCTTTTGTATGTAAATTGCCCTGGACTAAAGTTGATTGATAGCTCTTTTTCTGCCGGCCTCCAATCTGATTTCTTCCAGTATAGCTTGTGGAATAAACCTTACGTTTCTGTGAGAATTAAAATGAGCACACACGTGAAAGGTTTAAAACCGCAAGACCTTTACGACTGGCAGGCGGTGTCAGTTTTCCCGTGAAAAGCATCTTCAGCAGTTGTTTGCTCTTTGGTTATTAAGAGAGACTATTAGTGCTTTCCTCTAATGTGAGAACAGAGCAGCCATCAATGTGGTCTGCACGCGGAGGGTCAAGTTCAAGTTAACATATTGCAATAAAGAGGCTTAGGAAGGAAATATACAACATGGCACTTAACAGTCACATTCAGTTGCAAGTTCCAGGAAGGTCCGAATCTGAAATTCAGGATCGAGGACTGGATTTCCAGCAGGTCCAAGGCACCCTTTACAGAGACAGAGAAAGCAGAATCTGCGAGTCAAAGGCCCTGGCCAAGCTCTCTTTGTATTCGTTTTGCTGTTTGGCCCAACCTATGTCTTGCAATTTTGAAGAGAACAAAGGGCAAGCCTGGTGGCTCATGCCTGTCATCCTAGCACTCGGGAGGCTGAGGTGGGAGGATTGCTCGAGGTCAGGAGGTTTGAAACCAGCCTGAGCAAGAGCGAGACCCTGTCTCTACTAAAAATAGAAAAAACTAATTGGCCAACTAATATATATAGAAAAATTAAGCCGGGCATGGTGGCGCATGCCTGTAGTCCCAGCTACTCGGGC